TGCTTCTTGAAAAACAGAAATAATAGGCCTAATTTTTACTCTACAACCTAAACACCAATGCCCAAGGACTTCACACTCATTTCACAAATCTTTTTAACAGATACTCTCATTAATTGCCATCTGTTTACATGTGCTATTCTAAATAACATTTTAGTTACATTTCTGAAACACTTCCTGCCATTAACCTCATCTCTAGAATACTAGCTACTATGAAGCACCTGGTTTCAGGAACACAGACCTGAAACTCACACACCAAACTAAACTGTTATGTAAATGACAGAAATGACACATTTGGGTCTGTAATGGATCTCTAGACTACTTTTGGACCTATTTTACTTTTACCACTAAAATTCTGCCACTAGATTATAGTCATTTTTGAGCCCATGAAAATGGAATTACAGATGAAAAAGAACTAGTTTTCCAACAATCTGTACAAAATGTCACTCTACAAAGAATATCACCAGTTACAGGAATTTTATTAGGATTCTGCAAAGAAAAATAAATATTTTAGTAAAAATTATGTCCTTCATTTATCTTATTAATAAACCTTGATTTTCAGGTTTTATTTAAATTTACTTACTAATTTAAGGTCTCAAATAGTTCAGAGATTTATATTTAGTATGCTAAAGAAATGAAAAGTGTAGATTAATCAAAATGCTGCATAAATAAAAGCCACTAAACTTAATCAATGGAATATCCAGCCATCCAAACTAATCAACTAGAAAGGAATCAGCAACAGAAATCCGGTATTACTTTTAGATCATATAATTAGGAAAATGCAGAGCAAAGCCCATCTTCCTTTGGTCAAGGCATGAATGAAGATTCAAAAGTACAAAATAGGGAAATGGGAAAAGCCAGAAAATGACCAATTGGCAAAAACTAAGACACGTAAATTTTTATATTCACTTATATATCTCACTCCTAAAATGTTAATCAAATTCAAATAAGAACCTAATTGGAAAGAGGAAAGCCAACAGGAAAGTTATGTAGGTCAACTGAGAACCAATCAAGTCCTCAGGCTCTGTCTTCTGTTTGAGGAAAAACTGCTAACTTCTTGACATAGGAAAGATCAGGCAGCAAGCTCTGTCCTAACACAGTCCCCACCTGGCAGCCAGGTTTTGACAAGCAAATTTTGAGAATTCTCTAGCTTCCCACTTTCTATCTAATTATAGAACTTTACAAAAACCATTTTTTCTCTTCACATACACATTTTCTCTTTCTCTTTCCCCCTCTCTTTAAATCCTTCTGTGTTTTGATACCACAGTAACAGGTACGGATACATCTGACAATTTTCCCCAGAACAGAATGATAGATACAGAAAGGAAGACCTTCCCTCTGTACAGATGCACTATTATTCTGACAATAATAATCTCTACATTAAATAATAATAGTATAACACACTTTCCCTATAGGAGCTTAAAAGTATTTACAATACATGTAGAAACTATAGTCTAGTTGACTATACATGCCAGAACCTAACCATCCAAATAAGTGCTAGAAGGTATACATCTCAAAATATTGAGAACTCCTCTTTTGGGAATGTCTATGGTGTATTTTATTCAACTAAATTCCACAAATAAGATTCTTTGCTAGGCCCTGGGGATGCATTACGGTACGCTACTATGAAGCTCATGGTATAACAGAATAGCCTCAAATCAACTAATTTAATGAATTAACAAATATTCACAAATGCCTCCTACATGTCAGGCACCTTTCTAGACCCTGGACACAAGGCATGAACAAAACAATTACCTTGCCTTCATGAAAAAGATGAACCACTTGAAAAGTATAAATCTCATTTTTAGAAATGATTAAGTTACAAGGTACCCTAAAGGACTTCAGTCAAAACAATGCCATAAAGGAAAAGACTATGTTTGTTGTAAAAATGATAAATTTGCTCTAAAGTCAGGAGTTTAAAATGTTTTAAAAAACAAATGTCACTGATATAATTATATAAACCTGTAATATGGCATCTTTAAAGAACAACTTCAACCAGAGGTATAAATTCACTTGCTCACGCCCCTTTCATTTTATGGATAAGGAAACAAAGGCCCAGCAAGGCTGGGTAACCTCCCATGGATACACAGCTAGTCAGTGTCAGACCTCCCACAGAGCCTCAGAGGCATCCATTCTAGTTCAGTGCTCTTTCTAGGAAACACAACTTTTTATTCAAAGGACAAGGGCTTTAGCCTTTATCTCTCCAATATTTTACAACCTTCTTAGCTCAGTGAGGTTTACATGTAGTCACAAATTGTCAGACTAGGAAGTCGCAGTAAAAAGAGGTCAGAATAATTTTCTACTAAGTGAATGAGGTAAAATTGTGATCATGACTTATCACGCACTGTTTTTTTATGCAACCCTTCCAGCAGCTCTTTTCCACTTGCTCCTACTCTTCTCCCATCATTTTGGTTAATTTTAAAAGTGCTTTCTTTTTGTCAGCTACTACAATAGCAATATTCCTGTTAAAGCCACCATACATTTAAAATCGAGGAAACTGATAGCTTTTTCAGTTTTGGATCATTTGAACTATCAAGTCTTTTTTCAGCTTTAAAATTACGTGATCCTTGGTGCTTTTAACACCCCAGGACTCAATTAAATAAGTACTTATGAAGCACTTACAGTATACAAAACATATTATATAGACTGTTTTTTACTCTAACCTTGCCTTCAAAGATGTCTGTATCAAGTTTCTCCTAGGGAATACCTAGGTGGTCAGTACAGATTCATCTAATATGAGATATTTCTCCTCTTAATACAAACAACTAGGCTTCCTGCCACCTTTCTCACATTATTTTATGCAAATACAGGAACTGTTTCATTCGCCACTGTCAAACACAACAGTTTCCAAACCTGTCGCACCCCTCTCCTCAGCAGATGGCTTATTTCTCACTGTACAGAGAAGACTGAGGCTTTCCCATATGAGCAGCAACAATTTCCCCCTCCTTTTCCTTAACAGTTCTCTGCAAACTTCTCCTCTGCTGAGTTAACCCTTACTGGTAATCCCAATCCCTAACTGCCTTGCTCCATCAATTACTTTCCTTCTTATTTGATAAACACATTCTTCCATATAATAACCTAAAAATCTTTTCAGTTAGCCTTCCCATTACTTGATCCAATTCTTTATTATACTGTGGGTGGTCCATGGCTTATGATACATTGTCTTTAGCTATTGCTGACTGACACTTTAGAAAGTGGCTTTATGGAAATATTATTATAGTTTTACTGTGGCTAAGTTATAAAGGATATTGCCCCACCCCCTCTAAATCAAGCCACATGAGAAATTTCTTTCCTATGTAATTTAAGAAAGTTTAGCTTTCCCTGATGACCTCGTAGGTTTTCACCTTATGATGAAACCAATTTCATCACATTTACTTCACATATATTTCACCACATTTTTTCCCCCTTGCTCTGGCTACAAGGAAGCTCAGGGTCAAATTTGCAGGCCAATTTTAATAAATTTGAGAATATTACTCATCTATACCTTAGGTGATTTCATGCTGAGGTTCCATTTTATATTTTCAGTGACTTTGATTTTAAATTCTTTTCTATTGTGTGATTATATATTCTTGTAAATTGCCTCAAATTCTTCCTGATACAAGATATTAAGTATAAGAAATAAGCTATGGTATTTCCAAACCCACTGTGTAATATATGTGCTTAACAAAGACTGGCAGAATTAAAATTTTATTTTCCTACTAAAAAAAGAAAGCAGAGGAGTGTGGCTAATTAGATCATTTGGTCTTAGGCCATCAGGCGTTTTTCATTTTATTTCTATTGTACATATTATGAATCTATGATCTAAAAATAGTCTATTTGCCATTATGTTAATGAAATCAATGAAAAGTAATCTTATTTAAATCAGAAATACTTTCCATTCTTTGAGTATATTGGAATTTTTATTTGTTTACTTGTTTTCAATTAGACAATTTGTTTTCCTCTTTGAACACAGTTATGAATTGATGGCTCTATAAAAAATTAAAAAATTATATAAGTAACTACGAGTAAAGACTATGGGCTACTGAAAATGGCTACAAAGGGAAGTTATGACACAAGCTCTTTGAGTTTGAATGGAAGTCCTGCTAGATTAGAATCTATGTCTGTGATATTATGTTTTCAATTCCTATTCTCAACCGCTTTTTCATGACAATAGGTAACTTGCTTTCTGGAATACCATTCATTCAACAAATATGTACAGTTTTGCTATGTGCAAAGCACACAACAGTTTTAAAGTACTCTACAGAAACAGAGAGTTTCTTTACTCCATGAGAGTGTGCTGTGAGGAAAGTCTACTACCTGTTTTGTTCCACAACACTGAAAACTCACCATCTATAACAAATACAGTCCAGTCTCCTTAATTGCACTAATCACATTTTATAAAGTCACTGCAAACACTGAATTAGCAAATACTGAACCACTGTTCCTAGGAGAAATAAAGGGTTGGGATACTGCAAGCCTCTGGTCCCAACACATTCTTCAACTGATCAGTACATAACCTTGTTTTATGTGTGTTTCTGTTTAAAGACAGCACTTCACCACTATGCTTGGGAGCCATTTCAAACAGCAAAATCACCAACAAAAAGCACAAAAATGTGAAACACATGGCACTAAGTAGACTGGGAAAAGTCACTTGTTTACAGTTAGAGAGCAGAAAAGAAGGAACAGCATCACTGGGAATGTGGGCATCGGGCAAATCAAATTTTTCACAGCTCTGTACACGTCCACGAGAGCACTGCTGAGCACTGACTTTGGGGATACAAATAAATTTTAGAAAGTAAGCAAATCTGCAAATACAGAATCTGTGAATAATGAGGATCAACTGTATATAAGTTAAATATTTCAGTGCAGTCTCTGATTTGATTGCCACCAAAAGGCAGAGATCTGGAAAGCGCCAATATTCTTCAGTTACTACACAAACTTAAAGAGTTTTGACGAGCATGCTTCAAGAAGTAAGATGTTCAAGGCTTTCATAAGTTGGTATTGCTAAAAATGTTATTTCTTACCTGATATATTCTAAAAGGGATATAACGAAATCCATTTTCTTCTGCAGGATATTCCATGAGTTTGCGATTGATGGCCCAAAATTGGTCAAATCTGTCTGTAATGATAAATTATTTGTTAGTAAAAGTGAACATTATAATTTAACATCTCACATGAAGAGATGAAAGCTGTTAAACATCCTCTTAGAAGTTTTTGAAAGGGCTTCATTTACATATTACTTTTTCTTAAACTTACCTTACCATAACTAAACATAAAACAAAATATAAAATTAATTTTTTCAACATTTTTGCTTCCTCTTCCTAGATATTCGCATGGACATTTTTTTCTCTTAAGAGAAATCCTGGACAGATTATGACCACTTGTGTTATCAAGGCAAAAAACATCAGGTAGGGATGAATGTCTTGACTCCCTTGGTCCTACTCCTGTCTACAGCACAAAGGCACAACCTAAATTTTAACCAGAACTTGTTTAAAGAAAAAAAAAGTCAAAATACCAAACACTAAACATTAAACAGCAAAAAAGATAAAATTATAGGAAAAGCTTTGAAAGAAATGTGGAACTGACACTTAAGAAGTAAGTAACTCAATTGCAGCTTAATCTCAGACTAATTAAACAACTTTTTTTTTTTATAATTTTATATATTTATTTTTCCCCCAAAGCCCCAGTAGATAGTTGTATGTCATAGTTGCACATCCTTCTAGTTGCTGTATGTGGGACGCAGCCTCAGCATGGCCAGAGAAGCGGTGCGTCGGTGCGAGCCGGGGATCGGAACCCCGGCAGCCAGCAGTGGAGCGCGTGCACTCAACCGCCAAGCCACGGGGCCGGCCCTAAACAACTCTTTTTAAAAATTTTCAGGCTAAATTAAAAAAACCCACTTTACTGAGATATAATTCACATACCATAAAATTCACCCCTTTAAAGTGTGCAACTCAGTGGTTTTTAGTATATTTGGAGTTGAGCAGCCATCAGCAACATCTAATTTCAGATCATTTTCCTTCCCCCTCAAAGAAACCAGTACCCATTAATAGTTACTCCCTACCCCCCCACTGCCCCCTAGAAATCACTACTCTCTGATCTATTCTAGACATTTCATAGAAATGGAATCATACAACATATGGCCTTTTGCATCTGTTTTTTTTTCCTTAGCTTGTTTTCAAGGCTTATTTACGTTGTAGCATGTATCATACCTTCACTGATTTTTATGGCCAAATAACATTTCTTTGTATAAAGATACAATTTTTTTGTTTACCCATTCCTCAGTTCAGGGACATTTGGGTTCTTTCCACTTTTTGGCTGTTATGAATAATGCTACCATGAACATCCACGGACAACATTTTGAGTGGATACATATCTTCAATTGTCTTGGGTGTATATACATTCCTAGGAGTGGATCTCCTGAGTTACACAGTAACTGTTTAACTGCCATACGCTAACTACGTGTTCAGGAAATGCCAAACTGTTTTTTGACGAGGCTGCACCACTTTATACTCCCACCAGCAATGTATGAGGGTTCCAATTTTTCCACATCCATGCCACAGCTTGTTACTGTCCGTCTTTTTTTTTATTATAGCCACTCTAGTGGGTATGAAGTGGTATCTCCTTATGGTTTTGATTTGCATTTCCCTAATGACTAATTATGCTGAGTATCACTTCATTTGTTTACTGGTCATTTATATATCTTCTTTGAGGAAATGTGTATCAAATCCTTTGTCCTCCTTTTAACCCGGTTGTCTGTCTTTTTATTGTTGAGTTGTAAAAAATTATTATGTATTCTGGATACAAGCTCCTTATCTGACAAATGATATACAAATATTTTTTCCCATTTTGCGTGTTTTTTCCCAAAGTAACTCCTTTTTAACTCACCCATAATCCTAACTTAAAAGTATTTTTTATATTCAGAAATTTACCTCAGAATCAAATCTCTGTAAAGCATGTGAATAGCTCCAGAATTTCAGATCAGCTTGGTATTAAAGCACATTCTCTACTACTAGACTCATCTCAATCCAATTTACTGGCAATCTATTGATACTACTTAGGCCTCACAGTTATATAAAAGAAAAAGGTTTAGTTGTTTCTTCTTATACCCCGGTCCTAGAATACTGTGACAGGCTCTAGGTCTTCTCCACTCTCACCCTCAACTCCAATCTGGGAGTTCATTCTACAGTAGAACTGGTAGGATAGAGAATTTAGAATCTAGTTAGTCCAGCGTAATTTCACCGATGACAAATAAGGCCCAGGTTGTGATGAGTTCTTCATTAACAAAGAACCAAGACCAGACTCTTGGTCTTCTGATTCAAAGTCCACAATCATTTTAACAGTTGTAACCACAAAACTGCATCTTAATGCTAAGAGCAGCTCCTTTGACCACAGTCCTTTCATATATGAATCAATTATTCTTTCAATGCTTTTAAAAAAGTATCTTTCTATCATCAGGTATCAAGCAAGAATGTGATAGCTAAATAAAATGATTCTTCATGCATAACTGAAATTTTACTCACTGCCTCATCATTAAATCTCCAGCACCTACCAGAACGCACGCATAACATATGCTCTTGAGTCAAAGAATGAATAACAGAATACTACGTACATAACTTTTTATTGCAAAAAACTGGGGTTCTAATCCTATGTCTGCAACTAAATAGCTAGGTGACTAGAAACAAATCAACTGAAAACTGACTAATTCACTTACAGATGAAATAAAGGAGTTAGATTAAGCAGTTGCTAATGCCTCTTCCAAAAGTAAAATTTTATAATTATTTAAGACATTCTCTTTGATTAAAATAGAACCTGTTAAAAACCACAAGCAAACTTTTATTAAAAGACAGATTTACACTGTTTTTTAACAGAGAAAAAAACACCGGCTAAGGCAGTGGTTCATAACCAGCGAAGATTTTGCTCCCCAGTGGGTCTGGAGACATTTTTGATTGTCACAATTGTATATGTGTGTATTACGAGCATCTAGTGGGTAGAGGCCAAGGATGCTGCTAAAAAGACTACAATGCACAGGACAGCTCCCCACAACCAAGAATTATCTGACTCAAAATGTCAATAGGGCTAAAGGAAGGAAAGCAAACACAAACACTAAAAAGTACAGAAAGGTAACTAGTAAAAAGTTTGTATACATTTATATGGCAAAAAAGTAAACTGGAAAAAGGAACATTATTGTTCCATTATCAATTTGATGACTGTCAGCTCCAAATTCACCCTACAATGTATGCACTGCCACAAGGGACACAATTTCTTTAAGCATCTTACAGTGACAACCACATTACGCTTTCTCAATAGAGTGCTAAAAGGATGCTGCAGGAGAAAGGGGCTCCTGCCTGCATAGGCACACTGAAGACCCCTTGACCTTGTCAGCACTCTGATTTCCTCTGGAAGCCTACATGGGCGGCTCGCCTGCAGTTTCCCAGAGAGCCGCCTCTCCTTCTGCATGCCCATGCCACTCGTTGCTGGTGGCCTGCACTCCAGATTGTCCTCACTGCCCAGTGACTGCAGACCAGCTCCAGTCTAGGCAAAACAGGGAATTTCTCTTCTAATCCAGTGGGCTGAACTATACCTTCTCCCACAAGTTCTAAAGCCAGCCTTGGGAAGGAGCTCCTTGTAAGTGCGACCTTCCTCCCTTAGCCCTAAGGTACATATACAGTTTTCTTATATCTTATTTTCACTCTTTTATCAGAGTTTAATAATTCTTTATATAAAACTTACCCTGTTTAACCCTCTGTGTGGTTTCTATCTCCTGATTGGACCAAGTCTGATACAACTATGTTTAAAAGGAATAAAGACATAATAAAAGATTTATATTAATATTAGTTTTAATATTCTTATAAAAATGTTATATTCTTACACAAAATACGCATTTCCTTAACAATACTAAAAACATTCCAACCAAGAATAATCTAACTTTTATAAGTCAAAGTTATTAATAAGAAAGACACAAACAGCAGGAATGAAAAGAAAATCGGTGCTGAGATTGAGTGTATAACCAAGTATCTTTCATGCTGGATTTTGTAATATCAGTATCTCTTCTATCTCCTAGTCAATAATTAAAGTAAAATTGGAGTAAGGTTGCATTACTACCTTCCTACACATTAATTAATCAAGAACATATTGATCTATTACCAAGCAATATTTTGAATACTGGAACTATGCTATTAGTTATTATAATTAAGTCATAAAATTAGTTATTTGTTGTATCAGCCATGAAAACAGTACTTACAAGTAAAAGAAGCATAATTCAGTAATGTGGTATTGCTGGCTGGGACCCTCAAAATACATTCATGCATGACTGGGATATGTTCTGAGAAATGGGTTGTTAGGTGCGAACATCACCTAACAACCCTAGGTGGTATGGCGTACTACACACCTAGGCTCTATGGTACTAATCTCATGGGACTACCGTCATATACGACGTCCATCATTGACTCAAACGTCATTATGCAGCACATGACCGTACAGGAGAGGAGTGAGATGGCCTCCACACGCACACACTACCCACTTCCTGGTCTTTCAGATGTTAAAGAACAGATTTACAGCACCCCAAATAAATGCCAGATCATGAGAGCACATAAAAACGACTTTAAGCTTTTCTTTGAAGAGAAAAGCAAATGGTTGAAAATCACTACTGAAGGCAACCCACCCTTCACAAAATTTTGCATTAATCAACAGTATTATTCAAACCAGTACTACAAGTGGCCGTGTAATATATGTAGTGTTTTGACCAGAGGCTTTCAAAATATGTAACAAAAAGCATATCCACGTATAGCCCTTTTTGAATTAATTTGTTCATATGCAATACGTTAAATACCTTTGTAAAGCAAAACAGGAGGGGAAAAAAGGAACAGAAATTATTGGTAGAGTGCCAAATGCAGGTGTGTTAAATAAGTGACCAGTATCTTCAAACTAACTTGTCTTCTAAGTCAAATTATGCTAATAGGGCAGAGAGGCTGCACCCTGGCAGGGAGCAATCTCTCTAAGGCAGCACATGCACTGGTGCTTGGATGCTGCTCCACAGAACTACATCCACACATTTCTATGAGCCCTTCTGTTTGAGGTTTAAGGTTACTGAGATGTATCTGATGGGGAGGCCCTAAAGCA